CATTTGAAAACTTGTTATCAGTGTAGTATGCTTATGCATCACACTAAGAGGAGGAGGAAGTTGTTTGGTTCCTGCGTCTTTCAAGATGCGAAGGTTGATATCCTGAGCTTGAGTGAGAACATGGTTAGCTTAGCTTAGCTTAGCATGACATGGCTAGCTTTGCTCTGTTTAAAGTGAGAGATAAAGAGCAGCTGTACCTCTCGTCCTCTTTGGGCTGATGGCTACTTGTTCATAACTGAGGTCTTTAGTTTTCACTGAGGAGTAGACCGCCATGCTGTCGCTCTCTGTAAAATAAAACACATTTAAATTACTGCAAGTACAACAACTGCAACACCACAGCTACTACAAAACACTTTATTTGTTATGTTGCATCATGAAGAATACAAGTGATACAAGTGATGAGTATTTTTTAAACTCCAAAGGGGTTTTCACATCTTTACTCCTCTTCACACCTCTGCTGTACGCCAATGAGTGACTGGATAGAAGCGTGAGGTGTTTATGTGAAAAACAAAGGTGACATCCACAAAACCGCCGTGCTCTTTTACTGCAAACTGCCACACTTTCCCCACAGCGCATGAAGCAAACATCTTATTGCAACACTCTGCTGTTAGCCAACCCAAAGCAGACTGCGCTGCAGCTGGCCTCAGGCTACAGGAGGAAGTTTCTGCTGTGGTTTGACATGCAAATTAAAAAAAAGATAAGTTAATGAATCGTATTAAAGGACTGCTTGAGAAGCTCCTAGGAACTACTTCAGATACAAATCACAGTTTCCATGCTGCCCACACTTTAACTGTTACTTGAATCATCCATGAAATTAACAAAGAGCCACATTAAAAAGTCAAACACTTGTTGATTCCAACTTCTCTTTTTTTCCACCCTGACAGATGGGCGGAGGTGTGAGACGTAAAAACAGGAACCACCTCTAAAGTCTGCTGCCTGTCTGCATCGCAAGAGTCAGCAAGATTTTCTAAAGACACTACGTCCTTCCTCACAAGAAACCATTTTTTTTTCTTTTTTTAACTTTATCTGTCTTCTGTTTTTATGGTGAGAATAACTTGTGTCTCAGACAGAAAACGTACACTTACTGCTGTGATCGTGCAGCGTTCGTTATGGCACATGCATTTATTTTTTCCTCATATTTACTTTGTGTTGATTACAATATAAATTTACATTGCATTTTAGATTTTGCTGTATTATGTTATAAGTTTTACATATTTAACTACTTCATACACGGCATCTTGTAGGAGGTCATTTTTGTTCCTACCTAGTGTTTACAGAGGGACTGTTTTATGGAGTGTAACGTATCCTGTGTGCCATGTGTGTCGAGGAGACGACAGAGTAAAAGGTTGAGTGCACACCGTCCTGCCCTGTTGGTGTTTTTGTTTGTTTGTTTTAAATAAAAGATCATTTTAAGAGAAAGCCCACCACACACCCATAGCCCAGAAAGACCAGAGAGCGTGATTGCAATTGTACAATTGTGTTAACACTGAAAACTTTTGCTGTACCACAGGCCTGAATGGTCTAATAATAACTAGGACTCTACAGGTATGTTCAGATATTTGTTCAGTTGTTAGTTTGACTTCTTTGTCCAACTCTAATTTACCCAGTCACATGCATACACTACTTTTATCTATGCCTAAGCATTGTGGCATTCACACACTCTGTCACACTCCGATTGATGTTTCAGGGAGAAGTCATGGGTTGATCTGCTGACCTTCTGACTGGTATGACCCAACTCTACCACAGCCACAGACGTCTGATCCTACTGATACAGATTAAGTAATGGAATCACACAAAATGAGAAAATATTTTTAGCTGATTCAGTCGGCCTCATCTCTGTAGTTTTAAGCTGATGCCAGCTTTATGACAACATTTACAGTCACGTGACTGAGATCATTTAAAACAGCTGCTGGGTCTTTTGGGAAGTGATATCTGTATGGCTCTGGTGTAACAATAAAGGAGATGTTGTGGGTTTTTATTTTAAATGGAAGAACTTAAATAGAAAGAAAAATAGGACCTAAGGTTGAACCTTGTGGTGCACCACAGACAGTGTGAGCTGTAGATAAAGAGAAGTAATCCATGGTGACCAAAAAGTTTCTTCTTAAAAGGAAAGAAAAAAAATACCCCCAAAACTCACTGATGCCAGTCCATGTTTTACTTTGATTGATTGATGCACTTGAAGAATTACAGTTGCTTTTTCTCCCATTTCAGCTTTTAACATTATTTGTCAGCTTGAGTGGGGAAGTTTCTGTACTGTGTAGAGCTTTAATGTAGCTAAATGAAGCACAGCTGTCGTCTGATGCTTGTTGAATGGTAATGTTCACTGTGTCAGCATGAGAGCTACAGTTGAGTGTCCAGTAAGTGCACAGCTACCTGTGTTCAAACAACACCCCAGCAAACATGTTCTCTCCACTGAGGAGCGGTAGAAGGCCAGCAGCAGCTTCTGGTTATTCTTCGCCAGGACACGGAGGAAGTGCTGGGCCTTCTTTACCCTTAGACAGGGTGTTTAAGGGAATTCAGCTTGAAGT